GGACTGATTGTTCAGCTAAGTAAAGTCACTTCTACTTTTCCCCACATTTCCTCCATAAAGTGAACTTGTTGAAATGTCCTCTTTGTCCACAGCAGCTCGTTGGTAAAACAATCCAGGGTAAAGTCAGAGCGTGTGGTCGTTAACTCCGGCTGGCATACCTGCCTTGCTTTTATAGGTGGCAAATGCTACTAATCCTTCAGTCCAATATTTACTTAGTCCAAGTTATGCTTTCCTGGACCCTAGCTATGCATCTCTCCTGCTCCCCGCTTATATATTCTTGATGTATTCCTGGCTCAGGAAACAACTTTTAGTGCCCCGCAAGGGCTGAGTGAGAATTGACAGTGTGTGCCAGAGTGAGAGCGAGAGGTAGGGGGCCTGTTTTAGTTCCACTGTGTTTGTAAGGTCACTCAGAGTACATCTGTATGGAGTGGGAACCCACTCGCTTTCACTGTCACAACCACTCACAACAGCCATCTGTAATGCTGTTATGTGGAGCACTGTGTCCCTTACATACACAGACACACTGGCAACCACACGGTCACCTACACATCCCTGCATGTGTAAGGGGACATACATGCGTGCACGCAGACACACACACTTACATGCTGTCACCGTTCACACGACAACAAATGAGCCAGTGCGAACACACATTAACATAATGCTAAGGTTGTAATTCACCGAGCATGTGTTTCTAATGAAAAAGTTGTTTTAGGGTTTTATTCCGCTCGGCTGTCAAACAATTCGCCCATGTTTTGAAATATGTGGGGACCATAAGAGTTTCGAAACCAAACCAAAACATTGTTGCGATCCTGGTTTCTAATGTTTCTAATTTGTTAAAATATGCTGAGTGAATGACAAACGTAGAAGCTGGACCTGCCAAGAAAAACATATCAGAGGCAGGGCCATGTGGAAATACAGAGTCTCTTTAATAAACACGATCAATGTAACCTTTGTTACAGGAAGGAGAGGAGAGGTGGGGGGGAGACAACATACCGAGACAGTAGGTTCATGTTTGTGTACATGTTTATTTATCAGTGCATACAGTAAAAACACGCTTAAGAATTCAAGTGGACATTTTCCCTCACATGCGGCACATACCGATGTACACGCACACACTGTTGTGGTGACTTGGTGCTCGGAGCGAATATGTTACAGAGATATTTTCACAAACTGTCAAACGCTGAGGGGAAGGAGAGAAGGATTTAATCACTTACAGATGGGAAGTATATCTTTTACTTCTCATTTATGCTCATTCTCTCTCAGGCTGGTCCGAGGAGGATGTGTAACCCCCCTCCTTCACCCCACACACTTACAACCCAAAACTAACATACAGCCTGGAAGTGGGCTGAGGGGTGTGTGTGTGTGTGTGTGTTTGTGTGAGAGAGAGAGAGAAATTCATATGGTTGCAGAGCATCCCCCCCTCTTTCTCTCTCTGTCCCCCCTTCCCTCCCCACGTATCTGTTTCTCCGAAGAATAACATACAAACCCTCTGTGAAAGGATTCATGGTTTATTAAACCAGAGGTCCTTTTCCTGTTTCAACACTGAGAAGAAAAAATAAATACCACAGTTTGTTTTCTCTCCCTCTAGCCCGGTCCTCTATCTCTCGATCTATTTTCATACATTTCTTTTACTCATTTCTTTTTCTACATCTCAGTGGTTATGTCAATCTTACAACTTTGTTTTAGCGTATTTTTTACCCTGAACTTTCCATACTCTGTGTCTACTTCAAGTGTTTTTTTTCATGTCTTGGACACCAATCAGCCACACAGCCCATTAAAGCCGAGTGTGTGACCACTGAATGGGTCCCACTACTTTGTGCGTATGAGTGTGTGTGTGTGTGTGTGTGTGTGTGTTTCGACGAGGGCAGACTAGGATAACTCAGGGTAATGTATTGTCCTGGGCGTGCACCCTGACAGTTCCCCCTGCCGGTGCCTGCTCATTCATTACTGCTAATTTGACATGTTTACGGACCCCCCTCCTAACATTACATACTTAAGGCAATCGACTGACCTTAAATGGAAACACCTTCAGCCGCGCGGCATGTCAATACCAGATGAGGATGTTTGTGTCTGTGTGTGTGGGGGTGTGTGTGTGCGTACCTACCTGTGAAGCAGTGCATCAATACTGAGTTAGCGTTTCATCTCGAGGAGCAGGTGAGTTATGCCTGCGAGGACGGTTTCACGCATTATCTGAGTGTGTGTAATGTGGCTAAAAGGTGAACAATTCAGAATAAAACAGGAAGTGTGTGTGTGTGTAGAAAGCCAAGTGGAGATTAGACCTTTAAGAGCCAATATCAGTTTTTTTCAATCAGGACTTTTCTAATCCCACCCCCACACTCCTCTCTGCTTGTGTTTTTTTTGTACATATTCAGCACTTAAATACAGTGTTGTGTCATTAAACGACCAATCTTGCATTGTCTCTCACTGATACACAACATTAATCACCAATTAGCTCGTCCTGCGACTGGCCACCTCTCTCATTAGAATATGATAGAATATAATGGTACTTAATGACGCTTAGGAAACATAATTAAATGAGTGAGCTGTAGAACATGTGGAAGAACCGCGGTGCATCAATCAAAGACGACCCTGTCAATCCAGCGCTCGTCAAGAGCAAACACTGAGGGTGTGTGTGTGTGCAGGAAACCACTGGCCTCTATCATGACCTCATTAGGGAGAAATGAAGGGTGGACGTGTCCCCATCACAAGATACCATTGGTGCTTCAAAGTGTGAATGACATTAATGTGGGACTGTCTCTGCCTCTGAATGTCAGTTGGTCTATCTGGCTGCACTGGAACAGATGAGGAGAGAAAAAAACCTCATCTCTCTGAGGTATCTGCTTCCAGCTCTAATTAGCATGTGAATAAATAATCTATATTATTTATGGATTTGCTTTTATCATTAATCAACATAACAAAAAGCTTGCCTAATGTGCTCGCTGCCGTCGCAACCGTACTGTCAGCTGAGGGGAGAGAGAAAGTAGGAAGGGGCGGGCAAATAGCTTATCTTTTGTGTTTTTTTTTCTCATTTTAGTAGAACAATAAAGATAAGTGTTCTACATGCTTGCTTAACACACGCAGATCGTCGGCCTCCTCCCCTCCTCCCTCTCTCTGCCGGCAGTGGTGAAATCCATCTCTCCATCGCTATCTCTCTAACATCCATTACATACCCCAGCCCCTCACCTCCCTACTCATTAGGCCAACGCACAGTAAATTAGCAGCAGCAATTACAGGGAATATAAAGCACGGGCTCCCTCTGACAGGTACCACACAGATCATAGACAGACACCTACAGTCGTGGAGATAATTACTGTGGGAAACGACCACACACCCTCGTAAGCGAGAGCGCAAACCCTGGATGTGAGTGCACACACTCTTTCGAGGTATGCCTGCATGCACTCAAATATGCTCTGTCTTGTACCGAGTGTGTGCACCTGCAAACACACACTAAGCAAGGCCGGGAATGGAACTTTCTTCCCTCTATGATGTCCATTGTGACTACTTTCCGACATAGAATATTATTAATATTCATCCCTCCTCTCCTTGTCTTTTGCTCACTGCCTAGGTTTGCCTCCATTCTGAATACTACCCCCCCCCCTCACTCCCCATTTCTTTCCTTTCCTTATCCTGGGATCTCCATGGGGACTCCTGTTTTTCTTTCAAACACGCCTCTCCGCTCTTCATGTGTCCATGCAGGGAGGAGAATGAGAAAACGGAGGAGGAGAGGGAGATGTTGAAGAGGAATATGTGCATTAATATATTTCATTAGGGTACTAGTAGCAGAGAAGCTCCTCTCTTGATGTGCGAAGGCTGTATCCAGAGCTCTCCAGGAATGGTGTCTAATGTTAAGTCCCCATATAGTGAGGCCTCCCACTCCTATTGTCCTCCTCCCACACTGACCAGTCTATCTGGGCCTGGAGAGCTGCTGGAAATAAAGAGCAAAATAGGCTCACCTTTTGTCTATATGTATTTATGATTTACAAGTGTGAATGTGTTGTGTTGCCAGCCGCATTTGGGCAAAGCGGGAACCTGGAGCCGCGGCGTGCAACATGGCAGCGGTGCTCGGCTCGCTACTCAAAAACATTAGGCTCCAGGACTCATTTTTTCCTGTGTGTAACCTCCATAATTCAATATCCCACCTCTTACCGCTAAATCGTGCACACCACAACCCACTTTAGTGCTTGTCAGCAAAGTATCAACTCTGTTATTAGATGTATGGGAGAAAAGCCCGATGCAGTTACAAACCTTTGGGCAATTAAGGAGGCAAACACACTCACACACACACAGTGTTTACGAGTCCTCATTTCATCAGTACTTCCAGGTCGCCTCGCTCCCCCGCCCCTCGGGGTTGCGGAAGCCTCCAGTTACCGTGGAGACCCTGGAACACTCTGAGGTCAGCAGAATCCCGGGATCCGCTATTTTCACAGGCTAATCCAATCGCATGCCCCTAAATTAGATATGCAAAAAATAAAAAATAAATTAATTTTCTGCTGATGACCGGGTATGCAAATGATGACTCAATTATGGTGGGCTGGTGCGTTTGCAATTAATAACCTTGGAATCATCATTAACTAATATGTTTAGGAGGAAACTTGTCAGGCTAACCATGTTCACCATGCCATCAGTAATGCAGTAATGAATTAGATTCATTAGAGACAGGAGCCCAGTGGGGGAGGGGACGCAGGCCTTTTTCTGACCTGTGGTATTAGTGATGGCCAGGTCTCATCTATTCTTAGTCAACTGATGATGATGCTTTTAGATGTAAATATGACAAAAAGCCACAGAAACCCCATCTTCATATGGCATCTAAATTAGATGGAAGGGGTCTGCGCTATATTTGTCTCTCCTTTGAGTTTCACACTTGTCGTTTGTATTGCTTTGACATAAGAAATTGCAGTGTTCAGTGTTGTTTGAATTAGCGCACATTAAGAAATACCGGAGGCCATCAATGGTTGAATATGCACTTGTATTTAAAAAAAAAAATATGACAACTGACAAAGTCACAGACAAGAAGTAACTTTAATTCAACATTGTGAGAGTCCAAAAGTTATCTTACAGCTCAATTTTCATCAAAAACAATAACAATCTATACAGTAGAATTCTTCCCTTATATCATAGAGCTGTTCAGTGTGTTTGCAGTCAAAGACAAGACAGAGGGAAAAATAGACACCAGCTATTTGGTTTGCATCTTTTTTTTTTTCATTGTTTCATACCTAAATAGAAAACGTTGTCACCCATTACCAATATTCATAATCAGGATGGAACTTTGCTTACAAAGAAGCCATTGTATGACAACAGACCTCTGTAGTTCATTTGAAACAGATATGGTGCGGCCCCTCCCGCCCGGCCCCGACCAGCACAAGCACACAAGTGCCCGAAAAACACTCGTCTGTCAGCAGGCGCCTCTGTTAAAACGCTCCTTTCTACCCACTTAACAAAACCAGGCTCTAGGAAAGAAAAGCAGAGAGAAAAGCCCTATTCTCTGTCCAGCAACAGCTTGAAGACACACGGCAGACACAAAGAAAAGACTACAGAAATGGCTGAGGGGCCAAGGAGCCCCCTTTCATGCTTCCTCACTTGTTCTGTTTAGCTTGTAATGAAGCTGTATTGTCCGAAGGCTGATACATGGAGAGCAGGACCGTGGTGATCGGATGTCAGATACTGGAGTCAGACCTGTGTGAGATTCAAATTGTGCTGACAGTGTTTCACCTCACTGTGCGCCCCTTTGTACTACAATTAAAAGGGCTCTGTGTTGTCACACTGTTGTGATCCAGTGGTTAATGAGAAATATTACCAACATGCGGATGAAATAATTTCATTAATTGGCAAAAACGCTACATAATCGCTACGAAAGAAAAGTGTTTCTGTGAACACTAAAGTGCAATGAGCACTGCTGGGACGCGCCTCCTTCAAAGCGTGCCATTGCTGTACATCGGGGTACATCGGGGTACATCGGGGTGTGTGATTGTTGAATTATGGCTCTTTGTATTCTAGTCTGGCTTCACCACCAAACAGTGTGTTTGTGCTTTGTCCCCAAGTTCCCATGAATTCCTCTGTGGCAATAGACAATTGTGGTGAGGGTAGAAAACTGTACATGTGATTGAATGAAGAATGGGTTTGCATTGTTAAGGCATCTAGACTGCTGGTAAAGATTACAGTGACAGAACAAAAGAAAGAGTATATAGATACAGTGTAAGCAGGCATACATAACATAGGAAAAGAAAACAGAGGGGGAAAAAGAAGAACTCAAAGAAAGAAAAACACAGAGCAATTTCTTAGTTCTCTTGGTTTCCACACACACACAAAAAGAAAGTGTCACTCAAGAGAAGAACCCATGCATATTATCAGTTCAAGAACAGGATCAATCTGAAAGCCCCAACAAAAAGATATAGATTTACAGTATATATTAATGTGTGTATATATTCTTAAAAAATCTACTTCAACCAAATACTCTGAATAAGATGCTACTTTTTTGCCATACAATAAACATTTTCATAAGGAAATAAACTGAAATGTTTTATTAACTTACAAATAATACAAAAATAGACAATGGCATGTTTTTGAATCAACAACTGAAAGCATGGTTCACCAATGCAAAACAATCAACATACAAAACAAAAAAGATTTTTAAAAAAAAGTCACATTTAAATAGTGAGAGACAACAGCAAATAACGAAACAAAACATTGTGAAATATGTTCACTTACTGTATTAAACGTACACAATACAACTAAACGAGGGTGAGAGGCAATGTACAAATACAAGGGATAAATACATTATTTATAGGATATTTTACAGAATCCCCTTTTTGTATCCAAATCCATGTTTGTCATGTGTAGCAGATGAGATATTGACAACACACAGTAAATCTATTTTCTGTACTGAGAAGCTGCCTTAAGACATTTTAATGTTTACATTTCAAACTATAGCTATCGCAAAAAAAAAAAAAAAAAACATCAAATGATTTTTTTTTTATATACAAAAATATATCACATATATCACGCATTTATTCTAATTTGATATTTGCTAGACTCCTTCAGTACAGTGCTGGCTGGACACACACATCCTCTGGCTTTTCACTCAAATCTCAGACAAAATGTCAATTTTGGCTAAACCACCACCTTTTTCTTCACATGACAAGCAGAAAAGCATATTGCAAACAGCTCAATCCTCACAGTTTTATTAAAATTCAAACAAACAAACAAACCAACCAAACGGGGAGGGAAAGAAAGGCATGGTATCTGATGTGGAATTAGCATAGGGCGATTTTCTTATGCCATTTTTAGATAAATGGGATAATTAGCAGCAAAGTTGAAGGTTGACTTTTCTGTATTTCTTTGTTTTTGTGTTATTGTTGACCTTAGCTCCATTTGGCTAGTGTGTTGTTATGTGGTTTCACTAAAGAAAGCATCTTCTATTGTGACAGAGGTTACGCAAACTTCATGGCCAAACCAACTCTTCACTGTTGTTTGCGAGACGGCGTGGGGCCTCCGCTAATCAAACCCAAACCTTACAGGCATAAACATAAAAGATAAATAAATGCTCTTTTCATGAGGTCAGTGTCACACTGTGGGTAAACTATCAGTCTCTATACACTCCATCCAACGCGGTGTCAGAGAAGCTACACTAATTCAACCAAGAGGGAAATTACATCACAAAGGTTCGTATTGTTCCTTGTTCCTCTCCTTATCCCTTCAGATGAAATCCCAATGGAAAGGCCTGAGTCCTGCGTCTTATCTTCACTTCCTTCAGTTCAGCTCAGCTCCGGAGCCCAACAGAGACTCGCCAGACTCTGCTACTGTGACTTTTCCCCCTCTCAAACATTCCCAAATCTCCAGCCATCCCAGATCCTCTACATGGGTGGAACGATCATCCCGGGAATCGCTGTTTTGTGGGAAAAGAGGGGGAGGAAGATTGTGGGTAAGGAAAGAAAGAGAAAGGGAGAGAGAGAGAGAGAGAGAGAGAGAGAGGTCAGTCATGTGATTGCTGGGTTTCATCTGTCATCACAACAGTCACATAACAGCAATGTGCTCCAGCATCTGGCGAACAAAGACGCTCTCCCTCATTATCTCTTCGTTCCGAGGCCCCCAAAATCAAAACATTTTCCTCTGCCGCGCCGCTAACTTGGCTAACATCATTCCAGTTTTTTTTCTGAATAGCTGCATGCAAAAGCTGTCGCTGTTAATTGTTAGCAGTTACATTGTGTGAGCCCATAGTGCAGCATGGAGCATAAATCAGACATGAGAGAGGGGGGGGACGCGGTGATGTGGGATGACAGGCGATGAAATGACGCTCAACTCTCGAACATGGAAATTGAAGTCAAGAGCTTTATTCACATTTTTACTTTCTTATATCATGCTCTGCCTGCCACTCGCTCCCCGGTTTTCACCTCCTCTCTCCCACCTCCCCCTCACCCCTATCCCTTCCCCGTAGATTGACACAGAAGCCATCACTGGGAGGAATTTTTCATATAAGATATTGGCTCACTATTGATTCCTCCTTCTCTCTTCAATCCACTAATTCTCTGGTTATTTCCTAAGTGTCTCCGGCTTGTTGGGATTAACAGAGTGTGTGTGTGTGTGCGTGTGTGTGTGTGTGTGTGTGTGTCAATGTGATCAGTGCGCAGCTGCCAATGGCCCTTTGGGTCACCGTGGTCAGCGCTCATCAACGCCGACAGAGGAAGTGAGGAAGTGCTTAGCTCGGGGCTCTGATAAAGATTCCCATCCATCATTTCTCTCTTTCAGGATCTCAACACCGTACAACATCCTGCCTAGACTAACAGACCCTGCGCTGCATTCGATGGATATGGGAAAACGGAATGACCCATGGTGGCATAACAACCCCCCCCTCCGCCGGAGTACAGGCAGGAAGCAGGAAGTGAAAACAGGAAATGGAACACATGTGGCGTGGCATGCTGTCTCTTGACAAGTCGAGGGTGACAAATAAAAACAGAAAGGAGAAGGAAGGGCAGGGCAGGATGAGCTGCTGGTGCAAATGAGCGGTGTGGGAGAGTGTCGCGCGGAACGAAACAAAAAAGGAGGAAATCAACGTACTTCAGGAGAAGGCCAGGCCCTGCAGAGAGTTGTTTGATGAGTACTTGCTAGAATCCACAAAAGACTGATCTAAAGTAAGGAAGGAGAGTTGAAAGAGAAACAGGGAGTGAGGAGGAGGAGGAGGAAGAAGTGGGAACAAAAGTGAGAAATTGTTAACATAAGCAGGTGAAGAAAAGCAGGATTAAAGCTTGATGCAGAGATATACACATACATTGGATAGCATGTCAATTAATGTAAGGTGTTCGGCGGCTTACCTTGCAGGCCGTTATTAGTAGCGTTGTTGCACGTGGGCGGGGGGGAGTTCTGTGGTCGCACGACGGGGGCGAAGGCGCTTTTCTGCTTGACGGCGGCGGACACCATGTTGGCGGGGGAGAAGGAGAAGATGCCGGAGGAGCCGCTGCAGTTGGAGGGCAGGCTGGTGGACGAGGCCATGGTGGGGCTGGATGGGACGACTGAGAGAAGAGAGACGGGCAGGATAGGGGGGTTAAGGGGGGTCGTAGGGAGCACGTCGGGGAAGAAGGACAGGGAAGGAGAGATGAAGATGGAGAGGGGGGAGAGTCGAGGTTAGAGAGAGGGCCGAGGGCAGAGGACGGGCAGGCGGGACGAACAGAAAGGGACTGGTCAATGGATGATGGTGGGATGGGGGAGGGGGTGATATTTTGGACTCAGATCAGCTGGCTCAGACTTCAAATGTTTGCATTTTTGTTTTGTTTTTTCAGCATCTACCTGGCAATGAGATATTCCATAGCCAAGAAAAAAATGTGTTGAGTTGGAAACTTGCATCGTAAACAGCCCCAAGCATTATTTCCCTCTGATGGCTCTGTTTTGATGACTCGTGCTGTTGCAACAGCTCGATAAACATCTCCCCCCTAACTCTGGGTGCTGTACCCGTAATTCGTTTTCAGGGCAAACAAGGCTCTCCCACATCACCTTCATCACAGATAATCATACACGAGATTTCAATGAACAGCCAGAGCAGACGGGCTGATAACATCGGCGTGATAATGGTTCTTTGTGTTTTCATTGCTATCGCCTTGAACATGGTTTATTCGTTTGTCGGCCATATGTTGAGCCTCATTATCAGCATCATAACCTGAAAGCCTAAAGGCCTGATCACACAAGAGAATGGCACAGTGAAATTAATCTACACTTTTGCAAAGATATGTGGTTTTAGAGGCTTGGTGGCATCGGGGCTACTCTGTGGGCTACTAGGCGAGCTAATGAAGCTAGCTAGTTCATTCAACAATGAGTTTAATGGGAGAAGGAAACAAGGTAGCTTACTAAGTGTACATTTGTACTAAAGTAGCTCATTTGCTTGTTCGCTAACAGGACCAGTTTATCTTTTTATAAACAGAACCACCTGCAACTGTGACTGTTTGTAAACCATGTCTTTGTTATTTTGAGTTAAATAACACTTGATGCTGAGTATTAGCAAGTGACTTTTGTTCCCTTAAAGCTTTTTGTTTGGGAACTTCTCAGATTTGCGAATCAACCCTAGCAGTCTGGATTACATGCTGTTAAGATTGGACACATAAGACATTGGTTTTTAAAAGGAAAAACAAATTATTAAAACTAACATTTTGATATTTAGGCTTTATACAAGGCTGGATTTTGGCTCACAGAAATGACCAAAACGATATCTTCACAACCTAAAATTCTTCTTCCCCCTGCCATCATCCCATTCATCCTGCTGGGTTTGTCTTTTGTCTGCTAATACACTAAGAGCATTTTCCCCTTCAGTGATTTTACAATCAACCGAGTCGTATTTCACCTGCCCTCTGATATCTGCTTCTGCCTTTATTGTTGTTATTATCCAACACTTAGCTTTTATGGCTCCTCCTGACAAATCCTCGCAATAAAGTCATAATCCATTTATGAAGGGGCCTAACTAATCAATTAATGAAAATTGGACCTACAAAGGCAGGCCGAGGGGCCATTGATTGAAAGTGTCTGTGTGGGGCCGATGAGCCTGTTAAAATACTTGTTAACACCCAGGAATCAAAGAGCTGAAATGGAATTGCTTCTCTAGCAATTAGTTTATTGATTTAATCAAGGGTCTTTAATGTAGAGGGTGAATGTGTGTGTGTGAACAGAGGTGGTGGGGTGTGTCGGCAGGGGGGGTGCTAGGTGATCTGCTCCCCTGGCCAATAAAGTGGGGATTTGCGTTTGACTCTGTTCTTAAAGAAACAGATGAGACAGCTGAACTGCATGACTTCCCCCCTCGTGTCACATCTTATTCCCTCCCCCCTTTCTCAACTCCTGCAAAATTCTTATTCTTTTATGTTTAAAAGGCTTGGTCTTTTTTGCTTCCCATGTTTTATCTTTTGGCCCTCACTTGGTTTCAGGTGTCGGGTGTGGTGTGTGTTGTACTCACTAGCATAGGGCGAGTTGCCTGCAGATCCATTGAGGAAGTTGGGCGAGGTGCCCAAGGTTGCCATGCCAGAGTTAGAGTAGCCATTCATGCTAGTGGTGCTGTAGCCGCTCTGCTGCGGAGTTGAGCTTGGGACATAACCATGAGGGGAGACACTGCTCGTGTTCCTACTGTAACCTATGGACGGGGAGACGGAGAGAAAGAGAATAGGTGTTAAGATTTAGCAGATGGCAAACAAAACAAAATGAGGACATGCGGCACTGCCAAATAATCTTTTCCCTACACGGCTAATGGGCAAGGCTATACAAGCCAAAAGAATATACTGAAAACTCTTAAGACAGCATATGGCAGAGCGAGAAAGCAATGAACATGGCGGAGGGATATGATTTGAGAGGGAACTAGCTGCTATCCAACTACGGAAACAAGAGGCCTTTCACCTTACTGGCTCCGCTCCAAAATGAGATATATCGATAAGGCAATTAACACTAAAAGGCCTCTGCAGATCGCCTGTCATTTATAAAGAATGAAGCGAGTATTTCTGACAGGACCTTTCTCTTCTTTATGCTTTACGGGGGCAGCAAGACAGAAGGAGGACAAGATGGAAACTATAAATATACATCCCTGGTCCAATGCGCTGACAACGGAGAAAAAAAACAGCTGGAATTGAACATCAGGAATTTTCTGCTCTCTAGTGCAAACAGGGCGGCACTTCTCCACTGTAGTGTAGTAGCCTCGTTTTTTATAATTAGGTACCACCAATTCCCTTTCGTCATCCGTTATGAGTAGGAAACGGTAGTCGCGTAGCTGATATCTGTTGTTTTCTCCACATCTGAGGCATGTTTCTAGATGAAGATGAAGGACGGAGGAAGCTCATTGGAAGTATTGAGACATATCCAGAGGCTGGTCCATCCACTGGGCTCTCCTTCCCCTGATACATGTGATGAATCACCGCTGACTGCACCCACATCTCTCTCTGTCAGACAGGGGCCGACCCCAGTCTAATATACACACCCCTAGGACCCGCTCATATTTCTCCATCGTACTCCATCCGCGGCTCTCTTTTTCTCCATTCTTCACTCTCTCACCTTCGTTCTTTCCTCGACTCAAGTGTTCCCTGTTTCTTACCGCCTCCTCCTGTCCTCCTTTTTCAGAATCTTCCTTATTTGCTCCCTGCTCTTAAATCACCCTCTCTGAAATTCCCACATGACAAATAAAAATCTCCGTTTCCCACTTCTTTACAATCCATCTTTCTTTGACCAAAATACACATTTCCCATGATAATAACACGTTAATAGTTTGCTGTTGCTTACCCTGATTGGCTGTTTGTGCCACCTCCGACCCAGTGAAGGAGTTAACTGCCATCATGCCAGCATGGACGGAGCCGCTGCCGAGGCCGGACAGCTGGTTGTGCCCCCGTGGCACCGTCGTGTAGAGCGCCTCTGCAATATCTGCTGCTCGTTTCAGAATCATCTCCTGAGGAAGAAAAACAAGAGCTTTGGTCATCAACAGGAGAGGAGAAGAAGAGAACATCCACCCTTGATGCTTCATATGAAGATCTGCACATGAGATATTGCTAAATGTTTTTTATCAGTGGTCACTGGGAGTGGTGGGATTGGTTCCAGTAAATGGAGCCTCATTAGCGTCTTCCTCTCAGTCTTAATCCCACTTCTCCTCCACATTCTGCTCACTTCCTATTATCCTCTCCTCCCTCTACATTGTACATCTCCTCCTTTCCGCCCCAACACATGAGCGGATAAAAGCACCGACTTATTCCCACGTGTGTGCGCTCCCACGCCTCGCATGAACACAGCAGGGTGCTGCGGGGCCGAAGGAGACGCCACCTTTGATGCTGCGAGAGGAAAGAGATAGTGATGTTTGTGCTGGTGCGAGTGTTTACCTGGTTATTGTGAGGCATCCCGTACAAGGCCTCCACAAGGTCTGCTGCTCTCTTTAAGATCACCTCCTACAATCAAGCACACAAAGAGGAAGGGGATTGATCACGAGTGTGAAGGCTCAAAGAGTTCAGTCACTTTTATTACATTTCACGTCTTACATTATGCTGTGAATGCAGAACAGAGAGCGCGATGAGGAAGGAGGCAGACGGAGGAAGGGAGAGGAAGAGAAATGGGCCTGTCCCAGCACTTTGTTACCAGCCGGGCAGTTTGGGAGAGCAGAGGTAAGATACTGTTATCTGTGAATAAAACATGAGCCTATATCTCTCTATCAGTCAGCCATCTTCTACATCTTCCCCTCCCTGCTGTCAGCGGCGGATCATGAATCTACTTCACATGATCACGCATCAATCTCATTTAACACAACATATCATCAGGTTGACGGCGACACAACTCCCCTCGTCAGCGGGGACACACCCGTCTCCTGCCCCGTATTAACCCTGGTAATGATCCCAGTGAATGGCCCTGCTTCCACTTTGTGAGATAAATGTAGAGCATCATTGCTCAGGTGAAAACCGCCGAGTGGAATTTCCCACATCAAACATTTATCCTTCAGTAGTGTTTGCCGCTCATTTTCTCCCGCTTACCCTCCTTTCTCTCCCCGTCTCTATTCTTCTCCCTGCCTGAGTGTGTGAGTGTGTGACTCCAGGCGGTCGTTATATGTGTGTGTGATGTAGACACCTACAGCCCTACGAAACCCTTTTTAAAAGTTAATGTGCCGGGGCCAGGTTATATGCTGGAGGCGCGACAACCAGAAAATTGCAGCCCCCTCCCCTCCAACCTTCCCCGCGTTTCTTTCTCTCCCTCCCGCTCTCTCCTCCACTCGCACACACACACACACGCTGTGCGTTATACCCTCTTGAGTGTATCCCTCGCTGTGAACAAGCCCTGGAGCATGTGTGCTCTCTGTTCCGTGACACACCGCCTTTCAATCAGACCTCATATCACACACACACACACACAGTCTCTTAGCCCCGCACATTGTGGAGGCTGTCGAGCACGCCCAGGACATGACGAGAGGGTCAGCAAAGCAATAAAGATTGTAGAGCGCTGTCCGAGGTGCTAAATTCACTCAATAATGGGAGCGCTGCCTCTGTGTTAACCTCCCATTACTAGCACTATCTGGGGGAGGCAGAGAGGGAGGCAGGGGGGGAGGGAGGAAGGGAGGAGAGACGGAAGAGAGGGGAGACTGGTAGAGGAGGCCTGCTCGGCGTGATTGAGAGATGTAGAGGCCCTGGGAAGGTAAGTGGTTCTTTAGTATGTATGCACCGCTCCTCGCTTCCTTCTCTATGCTTTTCCTCGACGCCCCGTGCCTCCCAGGGATTGCTAGATGGGTAGATGGATGATGGGAGGGAGGGGAGGGGGAGAAAGTGAGGAAGGAGCAGTGGAAATGAGGGAAGTGTGAGGCATTAGGACACAAATGTATCCGCAGCTGGAGTGTAACGGTGGGCAGGGAGGTCATGGTCACTTCATCTAAATTGTCTTTTGTTTTTTCTTCACTATGATTCTCGTAGACTTTCTCTTCGGGACTTCCTGTCTGTCTCCTCCTCACCTTCATCACTAGACATCTTTCTCTTCTCCTCTCCCATCCTCTCTATTAATCACTCTCTCGTGGTCCTGTGCCCTGTCTGTACCTATCAGTCTCTCGTTAGCAAAGGGATCTGTCCGGTAGCTAAACGTGATTAGGCAGCGCTCCAGAGTCCTTCTGATAAACAGATAAATGTGGTTAGCGCCGAGCTGCCTCCCTGGCTCTGATGCTGTAAGGGGAGACCATTTCCTGGGCGCAGGGTCTCTTCCCGTAAAGTCAGGCCCACAGAGACGTCAACAGGAAGGGGAACCTGATCCAGAGCAGAGCCTGGCCTCGTCTGGCAGGGCGGTCACTCATTAGCCGGCCCCAGACCCCCAGCTCCACCACAGCTTGCAGCTAAACACCCTGCAGTCTGACTCTTGCTATTAGCCGCAGCGCAGTATGGGGCAGTTTCAGCTGGACACTGGATCATTACCACAATATACAGCGATATAGAACAGGCTTTGGCAGAAATCCCGCTCTGTGTTGGTTCATTAGGAAAAAAGGTGCCACTAGAACAGACTACGTTATATTCCCAATCAATTACGTCTCCATTACAAACAGAACAACCACAGAGAGGCTTCTGCCAGAGTGACCAAGAGTGGACACTTGTATCTGGAGAAGTTGCCAGTGTGTGCCCCTCTCTTGGATGATTGAGGCCAACAGTTGAGAGAAGTGCGGTCAACAAACTGTTATTACCTCAATAAAGGCACAAATCAATAGAGCTGAAATGAACAACCGGGCCTGCCAGCTACCGCTGTTCATTTAGAAGAGAGAAGAGACACCGTGGAGCGAGGGAGGAAGAGGAGGAGAGGAGAAGGATGGATTCAAAGATATTTAGAGAGATACGGGGGGTTGATAGGCCAAAGACCAGAAACTCGCCGGGACAAGCCTTGTATCCGCCAGACATGACACGCGGCGAGGACAAGTGATTTCTCTATCTTCCTTCTGCATCTACCTGGGCTCTCCATCTCTGCCTCATGGTGACTTCCCTCCGCCGAGTGTGTGTGAACAGCCACAAAGAAATGCGTGTGTGCATTTCTGTGTAATGTGTGTGTGTGTGCTGGAAGTAATAAAGTCCACCCGGGGTTGACTTCGATCCACTGACCCAGCAGGAGGTAAGACTGGACAGCTATGATGGATCACCTAACCTGCTTCTGCCTCTCTCTTCCTCTCTCCCCCTCAACCTCCTTTCCTCCCTCTTTTCCCTCCCTCCATCCTTCCCCTTCCCTCTCCCACTTTGCCAGTCTAAATGACCTTATACTAGAAGGATGAATAGAGTTGCTTGTGCACTCACTACGCAGTATAAAGTGTTTGTTTGGGCAGAAAATGACCGTATGATAAAATGTAATGTGTGTGTACCGCACGGTGTCATGTATAGCTTACTGTCCGGAGCACACAGTTATTCCTCTGTATGTGAGGTCACGCTGCCCTTGTGCCACGTCTGTCCGTACATGCTATGAAACTCTAGGAGTTGTCAATATCTCTCGCTGTTACCAATGTTACCAGGACAAATCCCTGTGAAGATAATAGCACGTGGCAACCGGACACACGAGAGGAGCGGAGCAGTGTACCTTGGGTAATCTCTCTTGGTCTCCGGGGTGTCTGGGGATGACCTTCTGTAACCTCTGGAAGCCGTAGTCTATGGTGGGCTCGTTCAGCGCTGCAGAAAGAGAGACAGAGGGAAGAGAAATACAACTTTTAATGTTTGATTCTTAATAATGACAAACACCTTCTGCTCAGCAGCATGCGAGCGCTTCAGCAGGAGGAGCGATTCTCTCCTACGGTAGAAACGACTGAATTAAGCAGGTTTTTTTCACACTTCAACATTAAACTAAAAGCGGTGGAAATGTGGGTGTTCTCTATTAAGTCTGGTGTGTGTCTTTGTTTGCCTGTGATGTAATGAATCTCTCTCTGTCGCCTGCTTTGGTGGTTAATAAAAAGACTGTCAGGAATCAGGCAGAGTGTGTGTGTTTGTGTGCATGCGGGGTGTGTGTGTCCTGTGGTCTTGCGTTGATCAGCGACTAATATAAGCAATTACAGAGACTGGTTCCAATATAACAAAGGCTTGATCGCTCCGGGGAACAAGCTAAACACACACACAGACACACATGGAAGCGGTCGCATACACTCACGCACACACACAGACACACACACACACACACACACAGTCAGATCATCCAGGCAGCAGGGAGAAATCACTCTCTCGGCATGCTGTGGTCGTGCTACGGTAATTGAATATGAGAAGATTTACCATGAATATTTAAACATTAGAATAAATACAATGAAGATCTGAGGCTCATAGTACAAACACTTCAGAGCAGGATTGTTGGATAAGTGCTCTCTCCACATAATTCATTCCTAATGTACTCTCTTTCCCTGTCTTTTACCCTCCTCCCCCCTGTGCCTCTTTGTGGGTTGCCTGGGGAGTCAATGCACAACATGGATAACAGTCTTGACTACTTTCTCGGCTACAGCCTACACGAAGCTGCTTCTGTTTACAGTTTGTGGCTTTATCCCGCACATTTGTTTGTGTCAAGTGAAAGAAAAGGAGCCGTTGTGCGTGAGGATTCTCCGTGTCTGTGGCGTCCGTCTGTTTCCCCTGTGGGTCGCAGCTTGGACGTTTCCTGGGGGCTGATGCCCTGCTCGCCTCACATCTGAGCAGCCAGGCTGACTAGGCGGCCCCCAGAAAAAAGGCCCCTAGAGGCTATGAGTACAAGCTGTCCTGCTGGACCTCCAGTGACTTCACCATGGCTCCTCCTGAGCCGCTCGCTCAAAACACACAAACCCAAAAGAGAGCAAAGCAGAGGGAATCGGTGTTGCTCTGTTTTGGCACCACAGACGCATTTGGACAGCTCTCCCAGAGGAACACTCCAGTAATCCAGAAGAGTGAGAGAAAGGAAAGGTGAATAGCTGGAAGCAAAGACAAAACAGAGCGGGGGAGAGAAAACAAGTGGAAGAGATGCCAGAGGCAGGCTCAACTTCTGAAGAATGACACGCATTACAGGCCAGCTGGTCCACTGATAAAATAAGCCAAAACAATGAGATGATCACATGCAACAAATAAAGTATGAATTATTTCCGAGGACAAATATTTGACATTACTTCCCTATTCTCTGATCTCTCTAAAGCCTTAAGGAGGATTTGCCCTGGATTAGGCGTGCAGTCTGAGGAGGGGATTGTTCTCTCAGAGGCTTTTGTTTTTATGATGAATTTGTTATCAGTTCTCTCCACAATGCGCCAAATGAGCCTCGAGTGAACAATAGCATAAAAACCCTAAGTCATACAGCGATACCCCCTATTACAAATAAAGAGACACTTTTGGTAATTGAGAGAGGAAGCGATATTGTCTCTGCTCATTTTCAAGGACCATAAACCAGAGGAGGAGTATGTGGGGGACAACGTGCACCGCTAACTACGTGTCTCTTTGGGGATTATCTCTGTGTTTTATGTTCTTATATCCATGCTAAATATTTCAAATGTCACAGCAAGAATTAGTACTGGAAGAAAGAAAAACCCTGCCTGGACGGAGCAGTGTTGTGCCGGTACACTCCAGGATTCAAAGCACACTCTCCCATACAGGTATATTTATAATCCTTAGTTGTCGCTCTCCAGAAGAGCAATCAAAGCCAGTAAACACATAACTGCCATAAATAAATGAATAGATGAGCAACAGCCCTGGACTGGAGGGATTCACCTAGCAATCACCCACATCAGATCAGATCAATGCTCATGGAAATTTCATGAAGCCTAGAATCCACACCGCTTCATATTTCACTATAATAACCCACAGAGCCGCAGGGGGAGTGAAGGGGTGAGGGGGGGAGAAGGAGGAGGGTAGAGGGTGCTGGACGTATGAGCTTTGGGTGGGGGGGATACCGAGGGGGGATGTTTGGGCCGCAAAGAGTAGGGGTGGGTGAGGGATAATTGAGAGGTCAGCACGGTGGAGTCGTCCTGGAAACATGGGAGAGGAGGAGGAGGGGGGAAACTACAGTAAGTGTCCAGGAGCTGCCTCCCTCTCCTCCTGTGTCACAACACTGTGTGTGTGTGTGTGTGTGTGTGTGTGTGGGGGGGGGGGGGGGGGGGGGTGGGGGGGGGGGGGGGGGGGGGTGAGTGGCAGTGTACTTGCAGGGTGAGGTAATTGGCTCTGAGGCTTGATGTTAACACCTTAACAGGCCCTCAGACAGTAGGTAAGGAGCTGATCATATCACAACCTTCTGTTTCTCTCTCTCTCCGCTCCTTCCCCTCCGCTCTCCCTCCTTGCATCCCTCTCTCCTCCCTCCCTTCCCCTCTCTCTCTCCCCCCTTTCCCTCCCCTCTGCAGTCTCCAGTGCTCAGGTGTGATCTCATAAGCGCTGCCTTGCGATCGATGCCGCCAGTGGCAGGGGGTTCAATAGCCCTGAATTACGGCTTCATTTCTCCCCCCTCACCCTCACACAGATGAGAGCTGCTCCCCCGCCCCCCCCCCCCCACACACACACACACACACACACACACACACACACACACACACACACACACACACACACACACACACACACCACACACACACACACACACCACACACATATATACAACAACCCCCACCGACTACTCACAAATCCAGATCAATACCTTACAATCTAATTTTTATCCATTTTTACCATAAACCTAGAGATTGCGTTTATTTGCAGAATCCGACAAGCTAAATAAAGCATCGCTTGAACACTGTCAGGGAGACTAATGCATGGGCTGGAGATTCATACACAGAAAACAGATGAGTGGAGCTTTTCCTCCTAAGGAAGGAGAGGCTAAGGGAAAAGACGGAGAGGATGGAGGAGGAGAGGAGGAGGCGGAGGAGGAGGAGGAGAGGAGGAGGAGGAGAGAGGAGGAGGAGGAGGAGGAGGGGAGACGCTAAGAGATTCTACCAAATCAATGGAGGTGTGGATGCTACCACAACCTAAGCCTCTAATTATCTGTTAAAAAAGTGCATGTCGACAGATAACAACAGCACTTGTGAGAACGCAGAAACCTGCACATTCCGAGGGGAAAAAGTGTGCGCTTGAATTAAGATATAGAAAACATAAGAAATCATCCCCCCCCGCTGAACGTCGCTCATTTCAGCGGGGTATAAAATAATCTTCGTTTCGAAATTCATTTACAATTCATCATCATGGACCAGATGCTCCTGTAATAAGAACGGAGCGCGCTAAAGAGGCAAGACAAGCCACATGGTGCAGAAAATTAATCTCAATCTCAAATAGAGGTGATGAATTTCCTCACTGTTCAGGACTGTGTGCAGTAAACGTGGATGTGTGCTGCTATCTCAGCTGCCCCCGTCTGGGCCGGACCGTTTTAATCAACGGCAGGCCTCCACCCAAGCTCAATAAAAGACTGCATTCACAAATAGGAGCCAAGACAAGTAATTGACCAGCGCGCGGTTGCACCCCACTTTTATTGCCGGATGACTGCATGCTGCATTTGTGTGTTGGTGAATGTGCTTGTTCACGTGTGTGGGTGTATCATCTGAATGTAGAATATGTTTGTAAGTCTGCGTTAACAACAGATTTTTCTACTGATTCTGCAAAATTGCACCAACATCATTATGCCCACACAATCAGCATCGGCTATATTACCAATTTGAAGTGCTCTTCTTGGCATAGTAATCTTTCTCAGCTGTGTGTGACAAGCATATTTAATTATTAATTCAAAAATAAGAACTTTACTGATCAATGTTTTCACCTGGGGCATTGTCTGTGTTTCCCCGCTGTGTGCAGTGTGTAGAGTGACAGACAACTGACAGCCCTTCTTCCACTGCTTAAAACTCATTTGGATCTCAGAGGCGGAGAGACTTCAGCAGCATCCCGCCTGGTTTAAATTCTGCTCTTGACTTTTGTCTTTCACCTCACTTTTCCTGCTCCTCCTCGCGCCGACTGACTGATGTTTCCTACACACCTAATCTGCACTCAGTGCTGAAAAACTACCCCTAATGTTTGTGCGTGCGTGTGTGCGGATGCGCGTCGGTGCGCACGGTGCCGGCCTTAATGTGAGCCAGCAGAGCCTTTTAATATCAGCCGACGCTGTAGCGGGAGCACTAAGCAGACAAGGCTGCATACTGAGGAGGGAGGGATTGCCTTTTGAACGACAAGGGTGATTCATCAACTCCCCCAATCTATGGCCGGTATCCCTGCGTCACACACACACACAAACACACACACACACACACACACAAACACACATCCCTACGGGCTCTGGTGGCACATATTATAACTCTATATAGCGTTGCGTAAAGAAAAGAGAGAGCACCTCTGATGAATGTCACTAAGACAGCAATCCAGTATGAGGTGATACACAACCAAACATGGAGATGCATTTGTACAGGGGAGACTGGGGAGAAGGGGGGGTGGGCAATGACCTGATAATGAGAGATAGAAAGAGGGAGAGAGAGGGAGATTAGGGAGAGCTCTCAGCCCCAGAGGTGGGTAAGGCAGAGGGCAGGGAGAGGAGGGGGATAAGGGGATACAAAGACATAGGGAAGAGCAAGGAAAAAACCACATTCTTATATTCTTATCAGTGGAGAGCTTAATTGCCTTTGATGAGTCTAATTGGAGCTTTCTGAAGTCTAATGGCAGAGGAGTCCTCAGAGACGGCAGAGGACACATTACTGCTAGCTTCTCTCCGAACCTCCTCTGACCAAAAGTCCCTCGCTTGTCTCCTCCGTCCTGAACTGAGGCTGAAATGTTTCCATTCAGCGCCGGCCAGTTGTGGAGTATCAATGATCCGGCAGAGGGTGTAGGGTGGAGGGGGGGGTAAACGTATAGATGTGTGTGTGTGTTTGCAAAGTAGCGGTAGCAGCATTATCGGGTATGTGTTGACTTAATTAGGTCTGTGAGCTGCTCGCTTTCCTCTCCTCAGCTGAAGTTGATTAGCAATGCCAGCTGTCCCCAATGTAATTCGCCGAGCGCACGTGTGTGTGTGTGTGATCGTGCGTGCACATGTAATATACGAGTGTATGCACGTCTGCCAGTGTTGATGTGTGTGTGCGCGCTAGCTGCCAGCTGCCACGCGGTGCTGCCAATCCTCCATGATTAGTACCCACTGGCAATGGGCTCAAACTGGTGCCAAACAGACCCAGGAGGGCAACATGGCCCATGGTAATCCTCCATCCCTCTCTCCCATCCTTCTCATCTCCTCCCTTTCTCACCCACCTCTCTCCACACTCTCATCAATTGCATTTGTTACGCTCCAAATGCTCAGCTCATCCTCTCATTCCAGACACCAAATGTGAGCAGGTTTTTTCATGCTAGAAGAACACGAAATCCTAAAAAAGGGGGAGGATAAAGGAGCAGTGGGAGAGATACAAATACCCGCAGGGTTCAGAGCGGGGTCTGAAGTGAAGTGTGTGAAGAGTAGAAGTGGGATCTATGCCTCGACACGGTTGACTGTGTCACCGTGAAGGTGCCAGCAGCTTGGCAAGCAGCACCACGGTGTGTGTATTGTGTGTGTGTGGCTTCCACTGGATGACCTCTTGCTACCCCTCACCTGTTGAGATTGTTCTATCCCTGGGAGCCCAAAAGGCAGAGAGAGAGAGATGGAGAGCGCAGAGAGAGGGGGGATGAATTCATCCAAAGAAGCAAGTTTTGAATAAGTGAATGTGACAAGGGGAAAGAGAGGAGGGCTAGGAAGAGATAGGGGTTTATGCATACGGTTCCCACATGTCTGGCACTTAAAAAGCTGTGCACACACATCTCCACACGCCGATGTACACACAGCTCTGCGAGTTTGGCAGAGAGAGGGCTGTTGGACAGCTCTGGCATGGCAAAGGCTGCCTACCCATTGCCCTCTGTCTTAGTAATGCAGTTACTTGTCAACGTGCATGGTGTGCTTGAAATTACATTCACACGTACATACAAACAAACACAGGCGGCCTTCCTCGCAGCCTTCCCTCGTAAGTACACAAACACAGAGTCATAATTATGACGCATTGGACATGGATTCTGTCCATGCCCAGTAATTAGGACACACACAAGATGCAGGAAAATGCATGGCGGCGATGTGACGCACACGCTCGCTCTCAATTGTGATTTTGTCAAATGTTGGCAATTCAGCCGGGGGCTTACAGCCTAAGTCTATCAGTGGTTGAGATTACAGACAGATTTATGTGATTCACAACGTCCCGGGGACCTGTGGCCTCGCATTGGTTAATCACCGCTTCACATTCACTCTTCCTGCCGCTCTTTTCACCGCGTGCTATAACTCTGCACCGATACACGCTCTGATGTAACACTCGGGGTTTGCGTGCCTCCGCACTCGCTGTCAAAAATCACACTCTCCTCCTGGATCGCGCCTTCGACAGGGTTAAATCTCAATAATCCCTCTAATCAAAAGGTTAAACCTCCTGACCTTCGCCTGCTTCATAAAAGAGGGCAAACACTTTTCCTCCTCTGATCAGTAAAGGCTTTTGCAGTGAATTATTGAGTCGTGTTATTCCATTTTAAATTGCTTAGCATGCACATTGTTCTCCAGAAACGGAGTGAAGAAATTGACGGCTTGTGAGCTGCACCATGAGCAGGTATTGCAAATATGCAGTCAGAACAATAGAAAAGTTATTTATGTGATTATAGCTGTTATTCACATCTAAAAGGCAGGTGGAAAATAAGAGCATTAAGGAGAAAAAAACAGCAGTTTGGAAGTTTGGGCTACATTATCTCTGTTAATGAGTGTCATTAGTAAGTGTTAGTAAGTGCGTAGTACCTGTGTAGATGAAGCGCCCAGGTGTGCCTTTGCAGAACTGTTTGGATTTGTAGGACAGCGTGACCTCCACCACCCCGGGGATGTGTCTAGGTGGAGTTTGCACACGGATGGCATGGGGGGTGATCAGCTACGGAGAGGCAGAGAGGGCAGAAAGATTAATGCAATGAAATTTAATATCCAAACATGTGCTCGGGGGACCGTTCTGGGCCTGCCTCAGACCTTTCCCTTTGCAGCTTTTGACTCTCTTTTCTTTGTATAATCAGCCTGAAAATGATGTGTTAGCGCTAAAGCCCTCAGGTGGCCTCGTAGCCTGAGGCAATGTCACTGTGAGGCTTCGGATGGTTATCAGTGCTGACATGGACTGTGTGAGAGGGGTTCAAAAGCAGTTATCTGTGTATGATTAAAACACACCTTCCTGTGCATACATCTATTACGCGGTATAAGTAAACGTATAATATGCTCGTCTCTGCTGCCCCTGTCTCTGTGTCTGTCAGCTGAGGCTGTCGAGCTGCCGTTAGCCACATTAAAGCGCCATTGTGTCGTAAACAGGCTCACTTAGTGTGGCTGATGTGCCCATGTATGTCTGTGTGTGTGTGTGTGTGTGGTGTGTGTGTGTGTGTGTGTGTGTGTGTGTGTGTGTGTGTGTCTGTGTGTGTGCTGACAGGTATTTGAAGGAAAACGGTATTAAGACAAAACACAAATGAGACCTCGCTGAGTGCTCGTTTTCTGCACGCTATAGTCAACTAGCACTCAAAGCTAGCAGCGCTCAAAAGCTATCAATGCCTGTGCCAGCAGCTATAGTGTATGTGCGTGTGTGTATGTGTGTGTATGTGTGTGTTGTTATAACTATCCCTTTCATTGCTCACTTAGCTATGCTTTCATTCCACCATTGTCTGGCCCCATTCACCTCTCAGCGAGATAATATAGGAGCTTTTTATAGAATTATTCCTTTACTAAAGAGAAAGCTGTTTAGCTGCGCCGCTCGCTGACCTTCAATTTCACACATACACTACATTTACATTTTAGTCATGTGGCAGATGCTCCTTACAAAGAGATTCATACAGTACGTTGTGCACATATTCCAAGAAGGTAGATGCTAACATAATAAAAGACAGGAAGGGAGATGAGAAGAGATATGACTAAAATAATAACTGGTACAGAGAGAAATGAGAAAGCAGGCTGTTAGGACTGTTGAATATTTTTGATATGGGTTTACAGTAGTAAACCCATAGTAGTAGGGCGGTGGTGGCGAAGTCCATAGGGACTTGGCTTGGCAACTGGAAGGTCACCAGTTCAAGTCCCGGAAAGACCAAGTGCTACCGAGGTGTCCCTGAGCAAGGCACCGTTCCCTACACTGCTCCCCGGGCGCCGTACATAATGGCAGCACACTGCTCCTAACACTAGGATGGGTCAAATGCAGAGAAACCGTTTTGTTACATGGTACCTGTACTACGTAATGACAATAAGTTGAATCTATCTATATCTATCAGTAGAGAAGCAATTAGTGATCATTGTCATTATTAATTCAGTAATTTGACCTCAAATGGATGCAATTTACTCAGAAATGAGGAACATGTTCACATTTGAGAAGCTAAAGCCAACTAATGTCATTTTATTTGAAATTACTTTAATATTCTGTTCATTAAGAATTAATTGATTAAGTCCTAGTTTACCACGGTTGTTCCCAACATGGTCTCAATACCCCCTTGGGATACCAAGATACTGTAGGAGAAGATCATCAAAGTGTTAGGAAAGGATATCTTTTTGTTACACACTATATGTGTACATCTTTGGACTTGTTTCTTTTGTTTCTACCTACCATAAAAGGCATTCACATCAAACATAAAAGGTGTGCCTTCAACTTATGCCTGTGAGATGTGGGCTGCAAACAGGCCTATGTTTTAAGTTGGCCCCAAGCTAAAGAGATTGGGAACAGTTGGCTTTTGAAGTAGGAAAACCAATATTTGGTGGTCAGGATGCAAACATATGAAACACACACCGTTGACCAGATGGTGACTAACCTCGCTCCAGACCAGCATTGTTCCGAAGATGACCTGCAGCCCGTCGAAGAAGTTGTCCCCGATGATGATGACGGTAGCGCCCCTGTGGTCCAGCCTTCACTGGGGCTGATGGCTTTGATGCTGGGGGTCGCTGCAAGAGTCACAGACAACATAGATTAGATGGTAACCCACTAATGACAGCCCATAAAGGTCTTTGCTATTGCCATAATGTACGCTCGCCTCCTCTTCTCCATCTCTCTCACACACACGTCACCTCTCTCCTCTCTCCCAGGGGTCAGGGTGCGAGCGAGGAATACTAATCATAGTGATTATACGCACCCCGTTATTAAACATCACCCCTGCCCTGTGTGCAAGGGCTGCTGTGGTGCGCTTGTTTTATGACACGTGGCAAAGCGTGCGGGCGTGTAAATGTCAGGTGTGCTGAGTGTCTGATCAAAGGCCACACGACCGGGGAGCGGAGCAGAGCCAACAGTCGCTCTGCTCTGTGAATACGCCGTCTTCATTAACCAAACACTTCGCCCTCGCTCAGCTGTCTGTTTTTATATATCCGTGCGGCTACTGTATCTCAGCGCCTGTGGCCACAGAGCACGTGACCGGACGGGGTCATTTCAGCTCTGGCTCGGATATTCGTAATGCATTTTGTAAGCTTTCAATGTTTTCTCTCAAAAACATATTATTTATCGGGTACATGGAAACAACAATAAACCGCATTTCCAATAAACTGGTATTCCATGTGCTTTTTGGCCTTATCTGTTGGTATTATGGACTTGGAGATTACTAGATGTGATTGAAGAAAAGACCAGCATTGGGAAAATACATGTTTATACAAGCTAAATCTCCTCTCCTTAACAGATATGCAGCTTGTCAGACATGCTGTAATTCTGTAAAGCGGCATAATCCACTTTAGACTAGGCTGACTTTTTTCCCCCTGCAGCCTAGCATTTGCTCTTTGCCCGACTCCCTGTTCTGTTGATCCCCCTCAACAAGCTGGAATGATATTTAGCCCCTCGATACGCCTGCAGAGATCAACGTTCACCAAGCAGCAATCTGTGGCCGTAATCATGGCCTAAAATGCCTCCTTTTCACAGCCGCTGATATTATGTGCGCTCCATGTGCATGTGTGTTTGTGTGTGTGTGTGGATTAACCAGATGGTGGAACGTGAATCCACGTGATAGGATTATACTTTGGGGTGTTCCTCGATGCCATCTGTTCAACTTTATGCCCCGCTCATCTATTACCGCCTGAAATGGGCCCCCAAAGTTATGTATCCTAGCACACAACCTCGAAACACACTAGAGAAATAAGTAAAGCCTTTCTCCGTATCGTTTAATCTGTTCTTTATAGTATCATGCACTTTTACCCTTTCCTCTCATTGTTCCTACCTCTACCCCCTCTGTCTTTTCTTTCATTCCTCTTGTTCCTACTTCACACCGCTGATGTCAGGAGAGTAAAAAGTCAGAGGAGGAAATTCTCAAACAAATCTCTCTGACACAGGGGACATCTGTTAGAATACTGTGAGTGCTCTCCTCTCTGTGTAAGATCCATGGCTCGCTGACGTCTCCAATATGTCTGTTAACTTTTCAAATCGTCTGTCATAGGGACAAGTGGTCCCCCTTTACCTCTGGAGAATGGTCATTAGAAAGACTTAAACATAACATTCAATCTTAATGCAATGTACTGTCGGCCATCATGTAAATCCCTTCTTAGTTTTTTGTCATTATCATCCCTGAGGTTGACTTTCCTCAAAGCAAAAAAAAAAAAATATGTTTCTCTTATTCAATGTCTGGGAAATCGAAATGAGAAAATAACTGGATTAGGGACTTGGGAATCAGTGCGGGCTCCTAAATCATGTGCACATGTCATTATGAAGTATTAAAGGTTTGGGTCTGACTGTGCATGCGGGGGTGTGTATGTGTGTGCATGGGCTTTTTTGAAAACCTGAGGGATGGGGAGTGATGGAGGGCTGGAGGATAAAAGCAGGTCTCCGAGGAAATAAAGCCAGTGTTGGCTTTAAGCAGAACAGACCTCATAAGACACATAGTGCTTATGCGAGGCAGAGTAGAAGGCCCAGAGGCAGAGACCTGGGGGGAGCAAGCCACAAGGGAGAGACGAGAGACTCACTAGCTACCACTCTCTCTTAGCCCGAGCTAGAAACCCTACAAGGGAGGAAAATGAGAATCCGGGAGGAAGCAGGAGAGAGATAAGAAAGCAGGTTTGAGAGGGATAGAGCGCAGACAGAAGAGGGGTTGAGTGCAGAGCCAGACGAGGGGGAAGGGGTGAGGGAGGGAGGGAAGTTGAACAAAAAGAGAGAGAAAGTGAGGAAGACAAAGAAAAGCTTGGTGAGAGGGCCTGGGTGTTTTGCTGCTGCTGTTAATACCATGTTCCAGGTAGGACTGAGTCCCTTCCGAGGGGTCCAGTTTTCGGGCCCGACGTCCGTGTTTGGAGTTGTTGTGCACAAACATGTTGTCGGACACGGCCAGGACGTGACCCTCCACGCTCACCGTAGTCGACACAACCACCTGGGAAATGAAAAGATTGAAGGAAATATTAAAACTACGTTAAACTCGCGAACATAGACACATAGACAGGAGCCTGGCCACTTGGTGAATGTAGTCCTTATACTTCTGTTTTTGGCTCTTTAGCTGTGAAATACTTCAATATGTTTGTCCACCAGCTTTGGCTGTTTAGTGCTGGTCAGGTAGCGTACAGTGAGCTTTTAAATGACTGTGAGAGCATTATGAGTAAAGCAAAATAATAAAGTTGCGTGCCAGAAAATACAAAAAACAGGATGGTGTTAATTTTTTATGAGAATTCTATTTTTCATATTGTAATCTTGCTGCTCTCTGGATTCCTCCCTCGGAAATCCAAGAGTGTATTTATGTGAGAGACCCTGCTGATGCTTGAGCTGGGAGGTTATGCTTTTGCCATGTTGGATTGTTTTCCAAAAAACATGTGAAAGACAGTGGTGTGTACCTGTGCATCACACTGTATGCACATATGCAGTTGAGTCTCACCTGAAAACGCCTCATGTCCCGAGGGTTCCCTGCATTCTTCAGGCAGTTCTGGTTACACTTCAGGAAGAACTTGAGGAAGAACCTGCATGTGTCAAGAACAAGAGAGAAACAAATGTGTTAGTGAAAGAGAAGCTGTCTGTCACTGGAAGTACAGTATGAGCTACTTCAATAAAACACAAGGTACAAATAAAACTAATAAACCAGCAGTGGCAGACGCGGCTCATACACTGTCCCACCGTCATCCATCATTTGTTTATGACAAAGGGTGTTTGCAATGTAAAAACAGCTCGGGGATATTGAGTAAGATGCTACCTTGTATATCCATCTCCGAGCTGCTCGCCATAAACTCACCGGGGCAGACGCAGCCCCAGCCCCAGAACACCCCCCCCCCCCCCAGCTGAGGAGGTTATGCTGTAGCTACTATGCAGCACAGTGTTGCCATTCCTGCCTCTCTCAATCTCAGTGTGAGGGACCAAATCAACAGCACCTGCCATGCATTATTAATAGGCTGAGATGGCAAGTATGGCTACCCACATCAATACTTAATGAGGGAGGGGGGGAGGGGGGGAGGGAGGGTCGGAGGAGTTAAAGGGGGGGGGCGGGGAGAATGGGCGGGGGAACCGGAGGCCTGAAAAGCAGAAAAAAGGGGACGGCTGACAATTTTTATTCCCCAGCCCCACCCCGAGGCTTACAGCCTGACAACTTCTTCTTTCACTGACGAGTACGTCTAACTCTCCCTTCTGCACTGTCTGTCTCTCTGAGAAGAAAACAAACGATATCAAATGAACCGCGAATATAAACAGCGCCGTGTACAAATAAACAAGAACCCTCAAAATGGGGAAAATAAAACTACACCATTTCCCGGTCCCCTCCTCCTCCTCCTCCCTTTGAGGTAGCTCAAAGAAGTGCTGACAGCTGAAACTGCTTACAATACAGATCTCCAGCAGCCAGAGAGAGAATCACTCCTTGCTCAGCTTTTCTTTCATATGTCTTATTTTCTAGCCTCTGTTCATTTGTTATGGCTAAGATTCTGCACTGGGCAGCGCGTTTGGAGCCAACTGCCTTTGATATAATCATGCACGAGCAAACACACACACACACACACACACACACACACACACACACACACACACACACACACACACACACACACACACACACACACACACACACACACACACACACACACACACACACACACACAGAGAAAAGACATGTCAAGAGAAACACAGTAAGCAGCCTTGGACAATTGCTTCATCGAGGGAAGAACAAAAAAAGGTGGAAAAACAAGAGAGCAGAGAAGATAAATGGACAGACCAGAGTTCTGTCTCATTTCAAGGGCCAGCCCACTGCTGTGCACATTACAAGCATCTGATGTAACGCAAGAACTCGTGCATTTATCCCGGACAACTTTTAAATGCATGACAGCTGGTTAGTGGTAGCCTCTTATGATGTGAATAACAAACTGTCTTTCCCTGCCGCGCTCTTTTTTTCTTCTTTGTTTGCGTTCTGATTTATGATCTCTCTGGCGCAAGAGGCTAAATCTGAATGAGAGAAAGGAGAGAGGGAAAAAGAGGGAGTGAAGTAGAAAGCGAGAAGAGAAAGAAATGATAGAAAGATAGACAGACGGATGAGGTGGAGAGTACGTGAAATCCGAAAGGAGAGACAGACCACCCTCCTGTATATTTTAGAAGCTGTAGGCCAATACCTCAATAATTCATGAAGCACAGAGATGGAGGCTTTTTTTTCCACAGCGGCTGTTGGACCCCACAGGCTGAGGGTCTCCCAACTTTCTTATCTCCTCGAGGTCAGAGAGCAGCCTCACAGACAGCTGTGGACCACATCCACTTGTCCAACATACTCCACCTAACTCACCGCGCCTCCTGTTTTATTCATTGACTCCGCTCTCTTCCCCAACTGTCCTCCTCTGAGGTATTCATGATGGACGGATGATGGATAAGTGGCTAGAGGAAAGTCGGGGTCACCACAGTCAGAGATGACAAAATCAGGGGGTTAAATATTAGAGTTTGGGTTGGAGAGAGGAGGCGGTGGAGGAAAAGGGGAAAGTGAGACTCTACCGAGATATCGAGTGCGAAAAAGTCAGCATGCCTCAATCGCTTAGCCATATGTCAGAGCGTTCCCTCGACCTCCTGCACGTGTGAATCATCTGATTCATTATTTACACGACTTAAGGTGTCTGGAGTCAGCTACACGGAAACATTACAAAACTGCAGCATGTTGATTCCTCTGTGCTCTATCATCTTCCCTGGAATCACCACATTTACATGGATCAACAGAGTGTGGGTGTATGGGGAGGGGGGGTGGATGAAGAGCAGTGCGTGTTGATATGCAATAGCAAAGAGATTACCATAAGGATTTATGGATAATCTGATTGACAGCTGACCAGTAAATATGGACAGATATCTGAGGATAGTCTGTAATTCCCTCTTTGCTCAGCTCTCTATTATTATGTTTTCCTCGCTTTTTAATCAATGAAAAAGGTGATTTTAAGGAATGTTGCTCTGTTAGTCATGTTGACTTTAAAATCCCTTTTTCAGACGGACCCCGATAACGTTATCCAATAAATTCCTCTTTAACGACACCACCCGCTATTCCAAATGAATTCATTTAAACAGATTTTTAAAGTTAATGAAGTCGTATGTTTTATCAATTGACATCATGTTATAATCTCTGGAAATTTGAACATTAAAAGAATCTAAAGGAAGAATTAGATGGGTTGTATTTTTTATGACAATTCTGTATCTTAAAGGGGACCTATCATGCAAAATGCACTTTTGTACATCTTTTATACATGAATATGTGTCCCCGGTGTTCCAGGGAACTCACCAAGTGTCAGAAAACACAACCCTCTCTCTTTCCCTCCATACCCAAATCTCTAAAAACTGGGCTGCAACGGATCTGATACAGACTGATACAGATTTGAACACTGTCCTGAGTCAGAAACGGGGAGCTCCGCCTATATGGGCAACTCTCCACCTATCAGGGGAATGAGAGGTTGCGTGGCATGGTAACAGCATGGTAACAGCATGGTAACATGATGCTCGTGCCTCGCCCCCCTCCTTTGCAGGGGGGCGTTGTCAGCTGCAACTCATTTGCCACAGAATCAGCCCTTGCAAAACCAGGGCTGGAAAAGAGCAAATAGAGCGAAATGAGGCATGGCTAAAATGCATAATCTGTTTGGTATTTTGAAAAAAAACCTTCACAGACATGTTTTATATAGGTATGGCCCTACAATATATTATTCAAATATAGCATGATAGGTCCACTTTAAAACACCCAATACTTACCTAAAGTGTGACTTTTCTTAAGTGGAAATGTGGAGCTTTGGAACAGTACATTAATATCTAGTGAGATAAAATGATTAATGATCTACTTCAATTGTATCTTATCTTAAAACTAAAAGTATTGGTAGGTCTATGGAAAATGTTGTCTTCTGCATAGATTGTTTTGATTATTGCCCCTCTACCTTGTTTGTTTTTGAGACTCTTGCTGGTTTCAAGCTGTTTTACTGTGCAGGCTCCACAGCTACGAATATTACCACAGCAAATTGCTGCGCGGGCCCGGATTAAATGAAATAAAACCATTTCGCTCTCACGTAATTACCCCCAAATCCAGGAATGGCTGTGGAAGTGAATTTGTGTAAATAACTGCTTGGCCTCTTGAAGCCTCGTGGCGTACATTTGTAGCAGGGGGAAAAAACAACGAATAAACAAATACAGCCGGTCGCCGTAGTAATTTAATGATCTCACACTTTCATCATATCATAACGGGCATTATTTGTCACATTGGAGCAATTAAACACAAAATCACCCTCTGCATAAAAAACAAAACAAGGAAAGCAATTATAACACAACTTTTAAGTAATCCCTGTAGCATCTAAATATTATTACTGTGGTGATAAAGATTGTCTAAGCGATTAGCTAACTGCAAGGAAGCCTCCGAGGGACAATTCTGTTATATTTTCTAATAATTTTCCTACATTAGCAACAAATGAGGTAAAGAGTTGTTTTCCTTGTCAATTTCAACACAGATAACTTCTGAACTGTGCGCTTTTATCTTCCCAAGTACTTCTAGTTTATTCATCTGTTCAGCCTTTTGTTACACGTTGTGCTGTATATCTTTCTGCCTCATTTCTTTATCCTTGCCCCGCCTCTCTGTTGTTTTGTTCTGATGTCGATGCGCTGTAAAAATGGCTGTGGGTGATGCCATAACTCAGCCCTCTCCCTCTCCCTCCATCCATCTCTGCCTCACAGATCATCTCCAGAAGAAAAGCACTGTGTCTGCCTCCTAATATGCTTCATGAGGTGTGTAATTCACTGTGCTCCGGAGGGGAGCCATTTGTCTCGGGGGTTAACTAAGTGACACAACAGCACTTCCCCACGCCTGTTACCACCGTGGGACATGTTGAACTAATCTAGGCAGGTAGAGCAGTGGAAGACCCCCGCACAACGGCAATTAAACATCACCATTTGTTCAGGAAATCCATCCTGATGAAGTCAGAGGCAAGTTCAAATTAAGTGTAAATATTTGTAGGCAAATATAATGTTACAGCGGAAGAGAAATAAGTGAGAAATAGGCGACTAAAATTAAAGTGAAGTCTGGCGCTCTCAGAGAACCAAATATCTTCCTCAAGTCCTGTTTTGTGTATTTTCTTTACCTCCCCTTGTGTGTTTCACTTCTCTTTCTTTTCTCTGCAACTCTTTCCTTCACTCTTTCCGCTATGCATCACTGACACTTCAGCCAAGAGCCCGACTGGCTTGTTTTCGTGGTGACCTGTCTCCCTGCCTGCAGTATATGTTTAAGCGTGGAGGCACGCACACACATACACACACTAATTTAGGGAGATTTATGAGGGGGGCCTTGCACCAGGAGCCATGCAGGCTGACCCCAGGGGTGTAGAGGGGCACTGGGTGGGGGAGGGGGCCTGGCTCCACAGGGGGGGGGACATTAATAATCCAGAACCAGGTCTGTCTCTGGGCCTGGCCCTGAGCCTCTGACACCAGGCTGTAACCGGCTGCAGTGGCCCAGTTTACTCGTAGACACATCCAGTTCAACATGCCG